CATGTATCTGCCCTTCCTCAAGCTTTCCCCCATGTTTTGGTTTATAGTTTCCCCCTTACCTATAGCCCCACTTCTTTCCTCAGCATTTGCACCTCCAGGACTTAAAAGGGTATCAGATGATGAAATCATAACTCTGTGTGAGTACCAGTGTAATTACAAGGGAGGAAGCAAAATGTCTGCTTAGGATTTTGCTATAATATCGTAACACATGAATATTACTCCTCTGTTGAAATTGTAATCAGTTAGTAACTAGTTAATCAGTTCAAGCACTGATATTTGATCTTCTGGCCTGACTGGGGACACACCAGAAAATCATGTAGTATTTAATTTTCACTGCAGGAAACTATGTATTAGCCATGAACTTCCTACTCTTTGTTTCTAAAAACTATTATTTGGGGTCAGTTTTTATATAAAGAAAATATAGCTGCTGCCTACTTTAATTAGAATGTAATAAAAGGAAAGACAAGTGTTTGTTTCTTATCCTGAAAGGACTTAGAAGACAGTATTTACCATTCTCACAGATTTTTCTGTCATAAAGAGGCTCTTTGGCCTCATATGGAGGTATCAGGCTTTTCCCCCCTCATCGAGTTCCCTTAGCTTTCTTTGCTAGTCAACATAAAAGAAAAAACAAAAACCTCTTAAAATGTATCTTTTTCTGTTTGATAAGAGGGTAACTATTCTCTGTTCTGGTATAAATTTGCACTGCTGAGAGAAACTGCCTAGAGGGACACGAAATTCAATGTTGAGTCACCTGGCCCCTTGGCCAGCTCCCAGATCTCCACGGCTGTTGTGACCACATTGATTCAACAACCACTGAGAGGAAAAAAAGAAAACATCTAATTCCTGCTCTGATTTCACAAACGGCCTCTTAATAGACGTCTGCTTCGCCCTTGCCTGAAACCAATTCTGGCTGTTTTTTTTTTTTTTTATAATTTTGGCCATGTTGCCTTGAAGGCATTCTGGTAATAACCCCGCAAACTCCCTTGGTTTTGTTGCTAGGCCACAGAGACACTATGGAGGAGGGGGACAGGGAAAAGGGGAATGGTGAGCTATTTTCAATTTTTCTTGACCACTTCATTGGTTTTCAATAATATTTTTTTTTGTTTCTACAAATTAGTCAATGAATTGTTTGAGTGAGAGTGGACTTAAGATCCACTGCCAAAGGGCATGTGTTGATGGATCCATTAGGACTAACTAGTTAGATTCATAGCAACTATTCACCTTAAATCTTCCAAATTGATGTATATTTATATTATATCCCATTACTGCTTAAATATTCAACAAGCATCTCTATTTGTGCTCTTTGTGCACATGTACAGATGCAAAGTTTTTCTGGAATACACAATGGGAAATACTTTTTGGTTTATATGTTTGCACATTAAAAAACATTGTACCAATTTATAGCCATTCAATGCCTTGATATTGGTCAGTTTATTTTTTGTCTTTCTAAAATATGATATCTTATTGTTTATTAGTTTGCATTTTCCTGATTATTATTATCTTCAGTTTATTGGACTTTGTCAGTAAACTGTCCCCTTACATTCTTGGCTTATTTTTCTATAGGATTTTTCCTTTTCTTCCATTGACAGTTCTTTGCTTTATTTTTCCTTATTATTTGAAAGTGATAAGTTGTGTTGTTGGTTTTATAAATATATTGCCCAAATATTTAAATTTATTATTTGTAAGTATCTAGAAGTAATCTTCAATAAAACATGAAAGGATACTTTACTTCCTGTATTTTCTCCTCCCATATTCCACATTGTTATCATCTGGAACTTTATTTTTAGATTTATCTTTTCTTTTTGTATATTATTGCTTTGTATTATCTTCTACTTTCTCTTGGAGGGTGTTTTCTTTTTGCTGGAGTACATCCTTAGTACATCTTTTTTAAAATTTTTCAATAAAAGCAGCAAGTTCTTGCCTGGAGGGAAATAAGCTGTATTTTCCAAATAATTGAGACTATATTTTCCTGGAATCAGCTGATTAGAAAATCTTTATACTTAAAAGAATTTCTTTTTATATTTATAATTTTGTGGATAGTGTACCATATTCTCCTTGTATTCAATGTTGCTGATTGTTGGAGACTTTGTCCCAGATCACAGATTATTGGGGGTTAGAACAGGCAGGGTCTCAAGGTGGAAACGGCGTGAGCGTGTGGAGATTCCAAGAAAAAGGGGAAAAAGGGAAAAAAGGAGAGCAGTGCATGAGGAAGACATGGGAATGGGAGTTGGGTGCAAGTCTTTCTGCTCTGCTTTTAGCAGAGGTTTATTTTGTACACTTCAAGCAGGCAGAGGGATGACATTAGCATATGAAATGGGCTGAGATCACAATCACCTTTTTGCTAAGAATAGTCTGGGGTCCTTTTGACCTTCAGTTGAGATTATAACATTTTTACAAAGTTCAAGACTAATATTATTATATTTACCACAGTGAAGATTAACCAAAATAAAGTCCCTTAAACATTATCTATTACTTAAAGGCTTTCATTCTCATAGAGACATCCTAGGGGGTAAAGTAAAGTGAGGATAGGAAGAGGAAATTGCTTGTAGATCAAATTAAGGTAAGGTTCTTTGAAAAACTTGTTAGAAAGTTTAAGTGAGTTTTTTTTGAAGTCTAGATGGTAGAAAACCTGATTAGCTCTGCACAGGCAACTTGGGTAAATTTGCATATCTAAAGACTAGATAGTAGAAAGCTTGAGTGGTTATTTAGAAACTGAATAGAAGGCTATGAGAGATAGAGTGATAAGATTTGGGTTTTCCTTAGTCTGGCAGTGAGAGACTTTGCAGTAACAGCCATTTGTTTTTATTAATCAGCCAGTTGTTTAATTACTTTTGACTTCTAGAGGAATTTCTCACCCTGGTGCACTACTTGCTTGTCAGGGCCAGGTAGCTCCTTCTGAGGCTGAGACAATCCAATTGTAAGGTGAAAGTTGCTCAGAATATTTTGATATTATGATTATACAAAAAGGGAGGTCATAACATAAGTTAGCAGTGTATGATTATACAAAAAGGGAGGTCATAACATAAGTTAGCAGTGGAAAGTCTGATTTTTCAGAGCTTTTCCTGATCTACCCGGAATCTGTCAGACGATAGACGTATAGCTTGTGTCAGCTGATAAAAAGCTTAAGGCCACTCCAATGCTTATTTCTTTGTAGGTGATCTGTGCTTTTATTTTACCTCTAGAAGCTTTTAAGATTTTCATCTAATTCATGTTAGTCTTAAATTTTACCACAATGTACCTATGTGTGTATACATATATGTTACAAGCAATGTAATCTTTCTGACGGAATTTTCTAGTTTATTTAGGTACATATTTATACTTCTGGACCAGCTTTCCATACTCCTTAACCTTTTTGTGATTATATTCCATGCTTTTGTTCTTTTGAGTGATGTTATGGAAGAACCACTTTATTCATTTACTTTGCACTTCAGATAGTTCTCCAGTTACTAATTTCTCCCTTTTAACAACTGATTTCTAAACGCCTCAGTCTCTAAGTAATTGTCTTTTTACGCCTGAAATGCCCCAGTCTATATTGGGCTTTACCGTATTTCTAGGGTGCTACAGCACTTGGCGTGGCCCCTTTATTTTGCACTTATTACTTCTTCTTGAGGGTAGTTGCAGCTGCTTTTGGATGTGGCACCCAAAGTGTAAGGGAAGGGCAGGAATCGCAAAGATTATTCCTCCTGTATCTACTCATTTTCTCAATCAGTGACCCTATGCTTTGGCCCAGCTGCGGCTCCTCTTTGGCATCCGGTCTTCCTGTTAGTCTTGGGCTAGCCTAGATGCAACCCCGCTATTTTGTGCAGTTTGTATTCATTTGGAGCTGTGCTGTTTGTCTTCACTCTTGTTTCCTTGCTTTCTTTTGTTCAGGGGATCCTAATAATTTTTTGAATCAACTAACAATATTCATACTCATTTTTCAACGTGGATGTGAATTTTTTAAAAACAAATATGTTATCTGTAGAAATTGGAGATGAGAGGAAGAGACTTCAGTTTGGGGCTTAGCCCCTAAATCCTCTAAATTGAAGTTAGATAGAGTGGTAAATTATACTACCTTGTTAATTTCACTTTTGCTTCAGTATTCCATGTTGAAGAAGTCAGATAATTTCTGATAGATATTCAAGTTAGATACTTTGTACAAAACATGATTCATGATCACTTGGCTGTTCTTTATTCACTTTAGCTCTCGCTATTCATAAGCTTTTCAAATTTATGTTATATTTAATTGGGTAACAGATTCATGGGCTTCTTACATTTTTTCCCCCTTTTTGGGGGGGGGGATAAAACTTCAGCTAATTCGTAAGAATATGGTCCTTTATGTTTCACCATTACGAACCAATAATTTGCCAATAGCTACGGCCATTGCATTCAGTTGCTACTGGATAAATTTATATTTTAACTTCAATAAAAATTATTATTGGGATTTAATGTTTTATGAGGTGGGTTTTCTTAAAAACTCTTCTTTATATTATTTCATTCTATTCAGTATCTTATGGACAACAAATTTCTATATTTCATAAGCAGATATAAGCCTCCATGATGCCTAATATCTTACTTGAAAACAACAGACATTTGATTAA